TGATTTCCTAAAATCTATGTCGGAAACGCTTGTAAAAATAGGAAATGACAGTTTAGAGAACACTCTCAGATCTTGAGCCACGCTTGAAGACAATTCCCGCTATCAAGTGTTAGTATTAGGTGCTCAGTCATGAACCAGTAGCCCGTAATTAACCCTCCAGTGGGGAAAGAAGCGAAAAAAAAACTTTGGGAACACTCTGAACAGAGACCCCCTTAGCAGCCGGCGCCTTGGACGAGTTTGTCGGACGTCGGCAAGCCCAATCAGCAGGATTCGACGTGCAACCAATTCCCGGCAAGAGCACAGGAAATCACCCTACGATGCTCCAGGCAACGCTATGTACACACGTAATTCCGCCACGTAATTCCGCTTGTAAACCGTTGTCTTGCAGAGTGAAAATGATCGTGGTTGCAATAATCACGCGTCTGTAACTTCTTTATCTCGTCCGTTTCGAGTGTGAAAGTGGTATATTCTATACGAATGCGTACAACGGTGTCAAATACATGGAGGAGACCACTTAATCGCGAGAACCCCTTTAAAGGACCATTCGTGATGAACTAAGGCCATAATTTCACAAATGTGTCAAAGATCCGATAGGCGGTTAAGAGGCCGTAGTACATTAAAAAAAGGGAAGTTCAAAAGAGTTTTAGTGGGGGCTGACCGTTAGGCCCATGAGCATCTCTCAGGCCCATGCTCACCTTCAGTGGCCGGCAGTGTCCTATATAGGGCATTTGGGACGGTTTTCTCTGCTTTTTCTTCACTATTCACTTACTAAGTCCCTTGTCTTTGTACCTGAGCTCCTTTACCCACCATCTGTGATCGCAGGCTTTGCTTTTGAAGTTCTTGAGGGCCACTATTGGTTCAAAACTTCGGGAATAAAGCAACCACATGACACCTTGTTGGCACGGAAGAGTCAGTTGTGTGTTTTTATGTCAGTCCTGAAGGATCGGGCAGAGAAGATGGTCGTTGGTCTTCTTTTCGTTTCCCGGATTTGTTCCTTTCTCCTTTCTTTTTGAAAGAGCTGTTTCCATCCGAGCGTCTGAGCGTACTGCAGTACTGAGCTTGTTCGTCAGCGTGGTTATTTATGTCCTGATTTAGAATGAGTAGCCGCGAACAAGCAGTGCAACAAGCGAAGAAGACTATAGAGCAGTTACGTGGAGAGAGAAACATGCGACGAACCCCAGTTTCTGCATCCGCAGCGGATTTGATAAGGTACCGCCGTTTTGGTTTTTGATTAATGGTGACCAAGGCTGCGTTCAGATTTCGCGACGGCAGCGCTTCGGTTGCGCGTTCGAGGCGACCGGATCCCATTGCTGGGCGCGCATCGCGTTGTGATTGCAGTTTCGTCGAAAGTACGACCCCCCCCCCACCTAACTTCCATTCCTCAAATTACGAGGTTTTTCAGCGAGAATTTTTCCGTCGACGGCGGGGGGGGGCGTGAAGGGGTACTATTACCCGTGAAAAAGGAAAATTTCTCAGAATCTTCCCCAGTATATCCGAATTTCCGAAAAAAAAAATTTCTGGGTTTAGTTCTCCGAAATTTTTGCTGTCGGGCGGGAGGACGGGGTGGACGGTCGTCGAAGGGAAATGTATTAATCAATTTTCATGTGGATATTAGTTGTACAAGATCTTGGGCATCTTTCTCACGCAAGACGAAACCCCCCCTCCCTCGAGGTCAAATACGACCCCCCCCCTCTCCCCGGTTTTCTGATCATCACATGATGGGGTGCCCTGTGCTGCCTTCGACTGCACGATCGCGTCGAATGCGCTACCGAAGCGCTGGCGTGTGAGCATATATGCTCGCGAAGTATGAACGCTGCCTAAGACGAGCAGTCCGATCGCGCGATTAAATCGAGCGTTCCGATCGCGAACTCTGAACGCGTTATAACTGTGGGTTTTGCGTTCGCGACTATTCAACACGTTATTTCCTTAGCTTTTCAGATTCACTCAGGATCTTCAGCGCGAGGATGTGCTACTGACTGGGTTTCCGAACGACAAAATGAACCCATACCGTCCTAAGAGCTCGTTCCAATGCAGTCTTATTTAGGTGATCAGTCAATGTGCTAGCAACTTCTTGTTTCGTTTTCAGCAGTCAGCTTTTGTTCTCCATCGCTACATATCGTATGCTTCGCGCTTCACTTTTCTACTATGCCTTTGTGATTCACTGGTACTACAAAGCCTTTTGTAAGATTCGCAGTAAAATCTGAGATTAGTTCGGAATAATTCTTAGCTCTTTCTAACAGCTACCAGAAAAAAAAGTACCGGCGCTCTCATCTTCTGCAACCAGCGATTGATTTCAACATTGACATTTTGAGGTATTTGTAGTTTTATCCATCGTTATGAATGGTTTCATACTTATGCGTCTTCCACCAAATTTTATATATGAACTGCCCGTTATGTCGTAAGTGGTGCATAAACATATTCAACATTTCCTCTAGTATTTCGCAGTTACTGTATTGCACAGTCTACAGTTCATATCGTCACAATCAATCTGGGCATAGTTAGGAAGTATGGAACAAGCCCCGGCGGCGCTTTTACCGCTGGTTTTTTCTTCTCCATGAGTCGACTGCTAACCGATCACTATTGGGCCAAAAATTGCAGCCGGGAGTAAGGTAACTCCACCCCTATTACTCCTAGCAACGCCACGTAGCTCTCATACGTTCATGGGGATCTCTTTTGAGGTTGGCCATTGGCAGCGCTAAGATTGCGTTCATACTTTGCGGCAGCGTCCACCAGCGACCAATAGCGTGTGTCAGTGTTCCGAGCGTCCGGCAGCGTCAGAAAGTATAGATATCGATCTAGCGTCTGCCAGCGTCCAGCAGCGTCCGGGAGTGGAGAGTATGGCGCGATAGGAGGGTAGCAGACAGCTGGTAGAGTATGGGGAGATAGGAGGGTGGCAGAGAGTAGGGCGGTAGGAGGGTAGCAAGCAGCAGCTGGTACCCTCTACCAGCAGTCTGCTGGTGGACGCTGGTAGATGCTGGCAAACGCTAGATTGATAGCTAAACTCCCTAGTCCTCGAGACGCTGGTGGACGCTGGCACACGCTAGCTCGATATCCATACTTTCCTAGCCGCGGACTCAACGTAAATAAGACATCTACAAACTTGGGCTGGGTCACTCGAGCAACCTTGCCCTTACCGCCGCCATACTCTAGTTCGCTTCAGACGAACGTTCGACTTTAAAAGACACTCCCCGCGATCAAGTGGTCCTCAAAATGACTTCGTGCTTTTTGGAACCCTCTACGCCTTGACGAAGATGATACCACTTTCATCCCTCAATATGGCGCGATAAGGAAGTTATAGCGATTTCCACAAGGCTCGCTAGGCTCGCTGACACGGTAGGTGGACGAGGCGTCCGGTCCCGAGCTGCTTCCGTCCCTTTAAAGTATCCTATTTCGAAAGTCGGGACGCAATTGCGGCTGCCGCATCGATTTCTGGCAGCCACGTCCGGCACACTCGTCCAGGCCCCGCCCCACTGCTAAAGGGAGGTCTGTGTTCAGGGTGTTCGCGAGGATTGTTTTTTTTCGATTTTTTTTTCCACTGGGGTTACGAATGGGCCACTGCTTGTGACTGAGCACCAATTACCCGGACACTTGATCGCGGGAATTGTCTTTAACTGTTCAGGCAGTGAGTGTGTCCCCCGTCAGCCGTTCTTGCCTTCTTGTTGAAGCGCGCATGCGGCAAAAAGTGGTAGAAAACTAGTAATACGAACGATTATGGTACAGTATTGTCACTTGCCGGTCTCAACAACTGGTGGA